CGGATAGAGATCCCCGGTTCACATCTAAGTTCTGGACTGAGTTGACTCGCTTGTTGGGCACGAAGCTCAAAATGTCAACTGCTTTCCACCCTCAGACAGATGGCCAGACGGAGAGGTCTAACCGAGTTCTTGAAGATTATCTAAGGCATTATATCAGTCCCTCTCAGAATGACTGGGATGAGTGGTTGCCTCCGGCTGAGTTTTCGGTAAACAACGCCTGGCAAGAATCTATCAAGAACACTCCGTTTATGCTTAATTTCGGACAGCAGCCGCGTACACCTCTTAATCAGAGCGGCGGTAGGGAAGTTCGTGTTCCCCAAGCCAGTAACTTTGCGAGGACTTTGGAAGAGAATCTGGCACGTGCCAAGGCTTCTCTTCATGCGGCTCGGTCTCGCCAGAAGTTATTTGCTGACGAAAAACGTCGTGAAGTTGAGCTGAAGGTGGGACAGGATGTCTTACTTTCTACAGTCAACTTCAAGCTTGCGCATCCAGGGACGCGCAAGTTGTTGCCCAAGTGGGTCGGACCGTTCAAAGTGGTTGAACGGATTGGCAAGGTCGCCTACAGGATAGAGCTTCCGCCAAACCTTAAGATGCATGACGTGTTTCACGTTCAGCTTCTTAAGGAGTATCGAAGTAATGGAAAGGTGCAGCCGCCCTCACCTCCCATTGAAATCGATGACTCATTAGAATATGAGGTGGAACGAGTACTCGGACACCGCGAAGTGAAACGTGGTAAAGGAACCAGAAAAGAGTTTCTGGTCAAGTGGCTCGGGTATGGACACGAACACAATACCTGGGAGCCAAAGAAGAATCTAACACACTGTGAAGATCTTCTCGCAGATTACTGGGCTGATGAAGCTACTTCTCCACAGGGTGTACGAGAGAAGCAAGCAGAGCTCAGGAAGAAACGGAAAGCAGCAGAACTAGAACGGAACCGCTCCGTTGAACAGACTGCAAGTGAATCTGCAGGTCGTAGGAAAGTTCCTACAAGACGTCGATGAAGTCATCGAACGGTGGTCTTAAGTTAGCCCACAAGAATGTGATTTGGAATTCTTGGTATACTTAACCAGTTTTCATATTTATTCCAGCAGGTGTGGGGTGGAGGCACTGAGACGATTGAGGGTTGACACTCGGGGACTGTGCAGTACTCGAGTGACGGCAATCAATCGCCCCAGTCCCCGAACCCCACCCCTTTTGTGGGTGCTCGGGTGAGTACCCTTGCATGCTGGAATGTCAAATAAAGGTTAACGAGATTTCCGAGGCCATCTAACTAACTTTGGGTCGAGCCCACAACTTGTCAGCTCGAAGAATCTAACCTTTATAGTCTCCTTGAGACAGGTCTCTCTCGGCGTTCGGCGATTGATAGCCGTCACTCTAGGTGGGGGGTGGATCGGTCAGCTTAACCCGGAACCCCCCTACCGACTCGTCGATCAAAGAGGCCTCTCCGGAAGGTGGGCCTGACGACGGGGGAGCGAGAATTGAAGGAGGTGAACCCCTCCCGTCTCAATGAGCTTTTGTCAAGTGACGAAAGTTCATGCACGAGTTTTTAGTTTTCTCGTGGACAGATTGATCACTCCCCTTTTCTTTAACCGATGGGTAGAGCGTCTGCTCACCGGGTAAAGGAACCGGGAGGTTTTTGTTAAGTTGCTAACCGAGTGGTTATGCACTTGTTTATGTCTTTTGTTAAGACAGCAGTGGCTGCCCAGTGGGATCTTGGATGAATGGTAAGATACCATGCTTCTATCAATCCAGGATCCCAGCGGCACCCTTTTTGGTTAACCAGGCGGTTGACAGCGAACCGAGTGGTTAGCGTTGTCTCTTATTCGAATAAGTAATTTCGAGTAGACAACAGTTCACCTCGTCCAGTGAGTCTTCAATCTACTAGGCTGAAGACCCGTTGTTCGAGGAACTTTTGTTAGCCAGAGGGCGGCTAATCGAAGTGCGTTTTACTAACCAGATAGTTAGTGTGATCTGTCAGTCGAATAAGTAATTTCGGATTGACAATAGGTCACCTGGTCCAGTGAGGATTTAATCTGGTGGCAACGCTTCTAGGCTAAATCCTCGCTGTTCCAGGAAGCTTTTGCTAAACCAGATGGTTTCAGCTAACCGGGTGGTTAGTACGTCTGATCGAAATAAGAATTTCGAAAAGACAGAGATAATGTCAGGAAGCGGGCTCTAACCCTTTGGCAGAGTGTCAGGGTTGAAGCCTCGCTTTCTGCTTTTGTTGTTAGCCAGGTGGGCTACCACAAGTAATTCTTTGCTAACCTCTTGGGTTAGTGATCGTTTGTACGTCTGTTAGCTATTTGCTAACCCTTTCTGGTTATCTTTTAGCAGGCGCTCGATGCGCGCGACAGCGTGTTCTGCGTGACGCAGATCGACGGTGGTTATCGACGGATATCGATATCGGCGGTCTAGAATCCTTGACGTCGCGTGACGCAAATTTCTAGCCCACAAGAACCTGAGATCGATTCTCGGAAATTCATATACCTGCCTTTTGTTAAGCCAGGTGTCTTTGAGCAGGTCCTGACGAAGCCCAAGAAGCCGGTCAGGTGCGGCCGACGGCAGTACCTGTCCGACTTCGAGGGCCCCGCCAGATCCTGGCCAGAGACTTTTACAGGTATAGTTTCCCATTACGTTTGCGATGTGCTCTCCGGAGTTTCGCACTAGAAGGGGAGGATTGTAACGGGCTACTATACCACCTCTATACTTAGGGCGACAGTCCCATAGGTATTCCAGGTGTATGGTCGCCAGAGTTATGCTAGACATGTGTCCAGCATATTACGCGACTCGACGTTCGCTCGCGCGCGCGGCCGCGTCCCAGCGCGTACAGTTATAGGATAGATTCCTAAGCCTTGCATAGCTTGTCAAGTAATCAGATACGTACATCTGGCTACTTGGGTTCAAACTATAACGGGCCGTAGTCTGAGTCTTGCTTGTGCACTGGTAGTACACACTCAAACTCATAGACTGGTGCAGTGCCATCGCGTATGGACTGCACACTAGTAAGCAGGAGCCTGCTAGACTCCCAAGTGGGAGAGGGGATGGCTAAGTAGCCTGAAACCCACCAAAGGTGTAACCTTTACACCACCTCTTTCTGGGAGTTTATCAAAGTGCGCTTCTAAGTGCTTTTCAGTACCCAAGGTGCCTTCATCAAGGACTCTTAGAATTGGTGCCGTTACATCATCCGGGGGTCCACATGGGCAGAGTTTCAAGGAAACTTTGGACAAGCATTGCAAAATCCTGACCTTTCCCATCTTTCATTCGGGTAGTCAACCATCCGGTGCCCACAGCATACCCAGCCTCATGTAAGCGACTGAATTCAGTCTCAATCCCTGAGCTGACTGTAGCGTTGTCGGATTGTGATAGTATCACTTTGCGTCGTTTCTCTAATTTCTGGGATGGACTGAGGAACAGTGACTCAACATCTTGACTGAATTGAGCAAAGTCCTCGTCTTCCATGTCGTTGAATGAAACCCTAAAAAGTGGCCGACGGACCCCTAGATCGAGAAAAACCTAATGTTGTGCAAAAAGAGTCCTGATAAAAACCTAATTTCCAGCTTTTATAGCTGTTACTTACCGTCCGAACATTTAAGGGTTTGAGTACTACGTTGGCGGCCATTCGGACGATGTGGTGCGCATGGTGGTGCGCGACGTGGCATTACTAAGTATTACCAAGTCTGCGAACAAAAATCGGTTCTAATACTACTTGAACATTTCGTATTTTGGACGATGATTCGTTCTGGGATTCACGACCGGGACTTCAACGTGAATGTCCGGCCAGAAAGTGAGTCCTATTCGACCGGGTTTTGGCTGGTATACTTGGCTTTGCGAACTGGCACGACCCTTCCGGGCGAGGGGGGTCGACGTGGCAGCTTCTGAGTGGCTGAAATTTAATAGCAACCTTTGGTGGCTTGCTGGGCCACTTCGCCAGGTGGTAAGGGTTGCGGTAAAGGCTCAGGACCGGCAGTCGGTGGCGGTCCGGCACTTCGACGGCGCAAAGTCACGATTTCTGCGGACCGTCGGACCCTCGGGCCGGGGGGGACACGTGTCAGCTATCGAGCGGCTGAAAATAAGGCCGACCTTCATTTGGTTTGCTGGGGCAAGTACGTTGGCATGGATGCGATCCCCATCCGACGGTTCAAAGGCTCAAAGATGAAAACTCCCCCCATGAATCGACGACAGCCAAGTTTTTGAGCCGGCCCTCGCTTGTGCGGACTGGTATTATGTAAAGTTTAAACTTTAAACCGTAGAATTAAATTGTGCTTGTCGAATTCCGTACTGCCTAATCAATGCCAGGTCCGGCTCACTCCATTTCAATTTTTATGGCAGAAAAGGATCTTGACTCGCGCAAAGCGTTGACCAGAAATGGTTTATGACCGTCCGATTTAACTGAGGGGCCTCTTTGGGGGAGCACTGTACCGTCGATCTTGACAAACAACCTCTTCAATCATTGAAGATATTCGAGAGGTACATCCCCCAGGAACTACGGTAAAGGTATGTGTCAGATTTCGTTGGAACTTGGTACGTTGGGGTACAAAGCAAAATGACGTCACTTTTGAGCAGCTACCTAATACGAGCTGGGTACCGGTATGTACTGTGCGTATTTGGTCGCCGGTTCTCCCCGCCCGGGGAAGCTGTGGCCAACCGGCTACAGCCCCGCTCGGACCTCGGCAGTCCCAGCACGCAAGTACGGTAGGTACCGTTAGCTAGGCACTTGGGCACCTGCTTTTGAGTTTACCGTATACCTATACCGGTACCTATAAGAGAGTGCGCCTTTGGAAAGGTACCCAATCTTTTTATGCAAAAGCCACATGGGTACAAAAGTCAGGCTCCCTCTGCCCGCAAGGAGAAACCGTTCAGAGTGCAGTGCGCAGAACGACTGCCGCTTTTACGCGGGTTCGGGAATGGTAATCCGTCGGAGTATCTGACCCGGAAAAGCGCTCCACTCCATGCTACAAATAGGGGGAAGTCTAAAGCTTCTGATTCGCATACGGATTCTCTAATGCGCGACGGCTGCTGTGCACGATCCGATCGCAGCCTTCTCCGCTCTGCAATCTGTTCGCAACCGTGAAAGGGCAACCGCCTGAGGCGGAAGGTCAGAATGGCTGCCTCTGCCAAGTGCTGCCTTTGATAGGTGCCCCAAATTGCTGCTATCGGCGTCCAAGTCCGCCATTCCTCCTATTCCTCCACAGGGTACCTGCTGCCCAAATTTGAAGGTGAATCAGGCTGTGGAAGCGGAAGCTCGTGTGGGGACAAGTTGACCACTTCTTCAGGAGCTTCCTGGGTTGCGACGACAATCTGAATGTTGGTTTGCTCATCTGCGTAACAGCCCTTGGAGCTATCCTCAGCTTCTTGTTCTTTCCATACAGAAAGTTGGGTTGCAAAGGTTGCAGAGTTGAAGCTCAAAAACGTGTTGAGGGTTTGCGCGGTGCTGGTCATTATTCTGAGCGGTGTGAAGATCCAAGAGCTACAGAGATGGCTGCATTCAGAAGCTTGCGAGCATACCTTCGTTCCTACATCCGCTCGTTCATACTAGCACATTTTGATGTGGACTTGGGCCCAAAATGGAAGCCACAGATGCCGCACCAAGTTCGCTCGGGGCCATCAAGCCAGTCAACCTTTGTGCAATTCAAGAACGATACCGACATGGTTGTGAGTGTGTCATGGATAGACTACGAGGGTAAAGAGGTGAGTTACAGCATCTTGCTCACGAGCTACATGGCTTTGCAGATTAACTATCTTGCATTGTCTTGAATGATTTTATTCTCAAAGAAGCTTTGGTTCATTGAGGTTACATGGCAGACCCTAAAGCTGCCTGATGTTCTGTCCATTTCTTGTTACGTCTTCTAAGGATTTGAGCTCTTTTGCAGTCCCTTGCGCGAGATCAATCGTCTGCCTTCATAATGCACGAAGTGAATTGCTGTTTCGTGTCTCATTCCAGGTGCCTTACGAGAAGATACAACCAGGAAAATACTATCGTCAACAGACATTTGTCGGTGAGTGGCAGAGTGACAGTTTAAACCTCTCAAAAGGCTCAGCAATCTGTGCTTCATTCTGTAGAGCCAGAGGACAATCTGGGTTGCCAAGGCGTTGAAAGGAAAGGTTCTTACAATTGTGGAAGATCGCAAATCAGTCTTGCAGTACCCCACTTAGAAAGTGGCAGCCTTTGTTAGTGTAGTGCAAGCAGCCAGTGTGTTACTAGTGTCTGATGAGAAATTTCTATCGTCTGTTTGCAGGTCATCCCTGGAGCTTCCGCACCAATGCAACCAGAGAGCAACTGGTTGTGGACCGGAGAGTGGTAAGCACATCTGCTTGCTTGCAGATTGCATTATGCACTCTGCAGGCCATATGACACAATGCTGTTAAAAGTCATCATGTCAATGTTCGCCTGGGCCACAATGCTGGTTAATCCCTTAGTAAGGGCAATACCTCTTCAGTCCAGTATCTTATTTGTGCTTTTGACATAGCAATGGCTCATTGTAAAGGTTTTTTCTCTTTTCTTCGCTTCAGTGCTCTTGTTAATCGTGGTCTGTCTATGAAGACAACGTGGAGTTCCTTATCTGTTTGCACCAGCAGAGAGCGAGCCAAAGCAGTCCTAACAAGTGCTGTGGGTTTTTGCAGCTTTTTGTGCCCGTTCAGTCATCCACCGATTTCGTGGCCTCCATCCAGCACCCCGCAGCAATCACCTGGTCCCCCTGCAAGCACGATGCGTTCCCAGAGGACTTCCACGCTGCAGTACAGGCTCTGCTACTGTGCCATGGTTCCCAGGGAAAGTTGCAGTCATTGGAAGATCCTTTGCCGGGTTCTCTGAAGCGAAAGGGCTCGGGACTTTCCAACCTGCTGAATAAGGTATGTGACTCCATTCGATCAAGGGAGCTGTGATAGTAGCAAGTACAGTTGGAAACAGAGCAGATTGACAGTCTTGTTTTTAGCTCAGTGCTGATGGTCGACTGCCATTAGGGCAGTAACCTAGGGAGTGCACACTTTGAAATTCTGATAGATTGTCGATCTTTTGCAAACAACTGCTTGCTCATTGGAGGGTCCTGTTTCTGCAGCGGAATCCCCTCCAGACCTCAAGCAGCAACCTCCGATCGCTACAGCCACAGAAGACAATGCTGTCTTCCTTACCACACGATCTTGTGCTGGATATCATCAGACGGTCAGCTCCGGTGGTACTTGACATTGAGGATCTTTAACATCCAGTACCAGGTTGTGCGATCCGACGGGTTGTTTGACGGAAGCTTGTATTCTAGTATAGTTCAATCAATTGGTCAAAAGTATAGGTACAGTGAATGGTTCAAGGCTCGTGCAATGAACGTCCCTGCACTTAAGACACACAAATCAAGAGGACAGATCTTGCACAGAGACACGACAAGGAAACCGTTTGTTCTAACAGAGAAGCTCAGTCGTCGGTTCAGCGGGGGCAGAGCAGTTGACATTGAATTTATTGTATTGTAAGACAGCGAGTATTCTCAGCGAAGTTGAAAGCAATCTTCGAACTCAACATTTAACAGAATTTTGAGCATTCGTCAGGAACTATTCAGGTAGGAGTAGCGCTTAATATTGACAGATAGCAGCCTCATCACTGGTGGATGGTTTCAAACTTCTTGAAATCGGACTATTCTTCTTGAACGGCTTTCAACCCCCGGTTGCGAAACAGCTTGGTAGTTGTCCCATCAAGCTGCCAAGCTGATCAAGAGACCATCAAGTGCATACGGCCGATCAATCATACATCCAATTGGAAGTTGTCATCAGACATTGTCACGTTGTTTTCAGCTGGGAACGGTCATGCCTATGACGATACATAATGGTACGGTATAGTCGCTTATGTTGTTCAGGTTCAGACGTTGTCGGTGTAGCCAGGCTGGCCACTGAGTTGACTAGTATGTCCACTAGGATTATCAAAGGTTGAGATGCCTCTATCAAATCTTAGTACTCTGGCCCCCGGCACGGCCACATGGCGCCATTGAATTGAGATAAATTCAAGAAATGATCAATGGATCGAATCGTTTTGATCAAGCTGTCATGAGGATTGCATGCGGGCTGGCTATATGTGTTTGTATAGCCTAGTGCCTGTAGACGATGAGTCGACGATTCGCACTACAGCTATGTATAATGATGATAATTGGGCAAACGTATATATCATACGAGCTCCCGTTGAGAAGATCGATTGCACGGCAGCCTGGATTGAACCATTTATATACATGCCAGAGAGTTTGATCTAGAGCTGCAGGAACATTGCGCCACGGAGCTAGTACCGTACATTGCACTTGCCGCATGATGCGCCTGTGCGAAATCTAAATATTCCTCAATTAAAGACATATGTCGGATCTGCATCGCGCGTCAGTTACAGTAGGCGTTCAAACCGTATAGACCTCAAACTTTAAATCCCAAGTATCACATGAAGTGTGCAACGGTACGCGGCAGCCATGGAATTCGACGGCCGGCATACTGCATGTGTACCAATATACACCGCATCTGCCCCTTTGTGCCGATCTTAGCGGTCTACATCCCTGATCGGATCGAAGATGATCGCCGCCAGCGCGCGGCTGTCCGCTATTTAGTGCTAATCCTAGCTTCAGCAGTCTTCTAGCTGAGCCTGTAGTCCCGAGTGAAGCGTAGCTGTTTCGCTAGCGCAGACATACGTCGGAATAGCCATCCGATCCAGAGAAGTTGACATACACAATCTAGGTATGGACTTAGTAATGTAGCACACCGAGATGCGGTGGAGTAGGCCACAAGCAACCTATGGTGGGTATCGGCGGTCTCGATCGCGCGACGATCCGGTCACAAATTTGAATCACCGGTGTGTCGCGTCGCGACAATTACTGTACGCGGTACTGACGACCGTGCAGACCGGTACTTGAGAATCCGGTCCGAGTTCATAAATTAGAATCTGTCTGACAATCCGGTCGTCAGAAATTTCCGGAGTTTCCGGCGGTACGGTACCGATCAAGTCTGACCGTACGTGAAATTTGAAAATCATGGTTTCGATCGGAAGTTCCGACTCGAACCACCCTAGAGTACCGCGGTACCTAACTTGAAAGGAGAGTGCAGAAGATGGAAACGGGAGTGTAGGGAATGGCGCTTTTTAGAAGCAAGCAATGGCGGCCATTTGCAGCCACGATGGTGCTTCTTCCGATTTGTCCTCAACATAACAAGATGTTGGAGCTTCGAAGGAGCCTTCATGACGCTCTCCCAACATTTTTTTCTGCTTGTCAGAGGTTTTTATAAGCCTGCATATGGCTCTTCTTTGCGTGCCAATTTGATGCTCCTCTCAAAGTGTAAAACCTGACACTGTTTAAGAATCTCCTCACACTTACTTACGGCCCGGCAAAATTCTCTGAGTATTTGTACCGCCCGAGTAACATAAACCTGAGTAGCCGTGACGCGAACCGCCGGTAACACTGACGATATTCGATACGCGCTAAATCGATTTTGTGGCGGCCGGAGTCGGAATCGACTCGGCCGGTACCCACCATAGGTAGCTTGTGGCGCGCTAGGCGTTCAAGTGTCGAACACTATAATGATTCCATGTATCAGCGGCCATGGAAGCCTACGGCCAATTTGGCTACTTGCGGCGTTTGAAAAGAGAACATCATATCACGCCATGGGAGCCTATGGCCCATGTGTCTACGGCATTTTGGAAAGAGAACTTACATCATCGACTTGTAGAGCATCATCGGCCACACTTTTGAGTTACCTAAGGTCCCATGTCGTATAGCCTGATATTGCATGTATAGCTAGCCACCGAGGACGGTTAGCCGAAAGGACCTTGCAAGAGAGTGGTGGCCCGACTTGTCATGAGCGTCGACGTGGCACAATTCTTGATCAGACAGTACTTTGACAGCTTCGACAACTGATGCATGAAACTGTCTAGACCAGTGCCAAGCGGCATGTCCGCAACTGAATTGAAGGCTGAGGAAATGGCCGCAATTTCGATACCACGGTTGCAATATCGAAGCTGGATACTGTTCACAAGCACAACTCCTGACACGCAGATTAGAGTACTTGGTAACTGTCGACCACCAGTTGTGTCTTGCCCCCAAACTTGACAGCCTCTCCTGATGATGCCTTGATAACCTGCTTAATCTTGACATCGCAGAAGGTCTTGTCAGCAGCAAACTTGACATCAATGGGGAAAAATGACTGTGGGTCTGTGGCTGGTACTGCGAACTCCAATGACCCGCTGCAGACAGAAGGAATTCTGTCAGATCTACAATCAATTGTTGCTCTCTTCAGCTTTGGACAAACGGAAGCGCAAACATCACATCCGAGAAACAATGCAGGCATGGATCATCATGTTTCTAGAGTAGACGACCCTGCTGAGTCCTTGAGTCGGTCGATTATCATGCAGGTAAAGGAACAGGGAACGCAGTACTGACCTTCGGTTTGTGTCATCAATAAGGACAATCTGCCACTCCAAAACAGACCTCCGAGGGTCGTACCTGGACGGAGTAGAACTTGTATACATGCCTCCATTATGCGTGCATTTCGTCGTTCTTCCCAACATGCGCAGAGCATTTTTAGCTGGGAAGGTCATTAATCAGCTCGGGCAGATTGGCGACAACAAGCCAAGAAAACAACACCTGCAGTGTTTACCAAACAACTCCAAATCTTTGCTTCACGGACACGTGTTAGCTGTACAAACGAGTCATCACCATAGAAGCCGTGCAACTGGTCACTTTCCTGCACCTTATTTTCGGTACGGCCATCCGAGGTTGAAAAAGACTTGGACTTGTGACTGCAAGGCGAAGCTTCGTCGAAGCGTGCTGCTTCGAGCGCCTTACCTCCACTCTCCATCAATCTGGTTGACCTGCGGGGCGTCTCGTAGGGCGGGCAGCGGGATGCTGATGAGCACGTTCTTGAGGTCGAACTCTGCCTGCGACTCGTATTCTATGTTCACCTGCGACTCGTTCCCCGTCACCGACGGCCAGCAGTTGACTGCACGATGGTCAGAAAGCACAGCTTCAGAACTGCGTTTGTAGGAGCAGGCCGTTGATTTTCTAACGGACACTCGACTTTTCTCGGCCCACCCTTCAGCATATCTGGCCCGTATTGCTGCATCTCGAGCGCTCGGGAAACGGCAGTGTCTAAGTTACAATGCCTAGAACAAGGCTTGAAATACGCCGGAGAGCATCGGACTCAAGCGCCATCATCAGAGGAAGGACTTACTTGAGAGGGGCACCATCTCCTCGTTTTTGCTCTGCATCCTCCACTTGAGGATGCCCAGCGGCTGGTTGCCCGACGGGAACGGCTTGCTGGCGTCCTTCAGGCCCAGCGCGTTCTGCTTCTGGTGCAGCGCCTTGTCAATGTTGGGGTGCGTCTTGAACTGGAACCCGCGGTTCTCGCCGCTCTCCAACTGCACAAACATAGGGGCAAGCAGGGACGCACCCCTTTGAATACAGCGTCTTAGATTGGGAGGTTGTTTTGAGGGCAATTGCTGATGCCAAAACGAAGTGTAGGTTAACAACTACTGACGAACGGCTTGCTGAGAATCTGCTTGTTTCATCAGGATCATCTAGGTCTCCCGCACTGAAAAAATCTACCGGATTACGGCGAGACTGTTCCACGGCTGCATAAAAGTCTCTGCGTCCGCCCTCTCGCTCTCAGTCTGCGCTCAAGCGCCAGCACAGCAAGTCGTTGTCCGATAACCAAGCTCAGATCGCATGCCTTTCTAAATCAAACCCCCCATCATCCTGAGCCAAGGAAAAGATTGCCCGCTGTGCTCACCACGACCCTGATGTAGGCGTCCTCGTCCTTGCCCACCAGCAGCGCCATCGTGCCCTGCACCTCCAGGTTCTCCATCCCCCCGTCCTTCCGCAACACCACGCTCAGCTTCTCCTCTATCATGATCGAGATCGGGTCGGTCGGGACCGGCGGCCCGGCCTTGGGCCCGCCGGCAGCGGCAGCGGTCCCGTAAGCGGCGGGTTCTTCCACGATAAGCTCGCCCTCCGCCTTGAGGGACTCGAGCAGCTGGTTCTTGGTGGAGGATCCGCCCAGCTTCATGCCCTTGCCCTTGGGGGGCGCCGCAGCCACGCGCGCTGCACCAAAAACAAATCGTACGCATCAGAGAAAGCGCAGATATGATAGCCAGGGGCGGTGCTTGGCGTTAAGAGGACTTTCCAAAGATTACAGCAGCACAAACACACAACCAGAGGTCGGACAAAGGAGCAAACGTACAATCAGGATTGTGATACAAGCAAGGCTGTCGACGGTTACAAGATACAGAAAGCTAGGAGTCAAAGATGAGAAGCAACATGCAAGAAATGAGGAGCATCGTTACTCTTCGAATGCTGACCGCTATAGAGAATTCCCATGCTCACCCTTCTCGTCTGGGGCGCTGGCTCCGTAGTTGCTCGCGATACTTCCAAACGCGCTCCCATTGTTGGTCTCCCCAAAACCGCCGCTTCCCATCCCCATGCCTCCGCCCAAGTTAGACTGCGCACTGATACCAGTGAGACCCCCTGGGACGTAGCCCCTGGGGCCTGCCTCGATCTTCTGCTTGTCAATCTGCAATCAGGAATAATAGGCAGTGAGGAACGACGTTTGCACTGTGACACGGACAGCCTGAGGGTAAACATCAACAAGCGGCAAGGCAGCTACGGCGATCATCCGACCAACATTGCGAACTCGTAGAGCTGACATGCAGACACGCCCTCTCTGTTGCCTGCTTTTGACATTGGGGAAAGCCCTAGAGTGCTCCAGGTTTGCATGCTCAGAGGGGAGGTGTTCCCCCAGCTTTTTACCATAAGCCAAAAGACTGAACTAATCACCAATCTTTGCAACAGAGTCAAGTCCTTGGCTCACCTTGGTTTTGTCAATCTCGTTGGCCTTCCTCTTCATGATGTCCTTGGTCTCTGCTATCTTGCTCTGCATGATCATGTTGTGCAGCTTCTCTTCATGACTGTCCATGTCCGTAAACTGCTTCACCTGGCCCAACGTCACAGGTTCCCGGTGGCCCTGATATGAGATGATCTCATCAAATGCAAAGATCAGCTCAAACGCCTTGTGGGACACGCTCTCTTCGTCCAGGGCAGGGCAGTACTCCGGAACCTACAACACAAAACGGAGTGGCCAGGTCTGTCATAGATCGCTACAACGTCAAGCTCACTGGAGTTAGAAAGGTGTCAATCATGGAAGCGAACAACATGTCCACTGGCAGCCAAGGAGGGTGCCCCCAAAGCAAAAGAGGCAAGCGATGTTTGGCGACAGAATTTGGTTCCAATTCTGAAAGGGGATAGTCTCTAATGTGGATCGCTCACAATCTTGGAGATGAGGCGCAGCGTCTCCAGATCCTCCAGGATGTTGCTCTGCTTGTTGGTGACAAGCAGCAGGTAAAGCGCCTCCATTGGCTGGTACACATAGCGCACGTTCTCTGTCTCCACATACGTGTGCTGCTTCCCACTCCCGACTAGCTTGGGGAAGGCAGCCAGCAGGCCTTCGATCCGAATGCGCGTCATCTCCACATAGTTGCGCAAAACCAGCGCTGCAAGGATGGGGCCAAACTGTTTTCAGGCCCATGAATCGACCATGTCCACAGCTCTTGCAGGAAAATGTGGCGCCTATCACCGCCAGCAAAGGTAAGTAGTACTGCAGAACACCCAAAGTTGCACTGCATAACCCTAGGATCCAGTAAAATTCCTGCCAAGTCCCATGCCTTGTCAACTGCATGGCAGCTGACATTCATAAGGCCTGTTAAAAACAAAATGGCTGAGCAGTCCTAAGACACGGATTGCAAAACTTGGCAGAACAGGGCTAGATCCCCGCATCAACTGGCAGCTTGCCCCTTACACTAGAGCTCATTCTGAGAGCATCAATTGGTCCTTAAGCCTGATTTTTCGTCGAAGCAGCGCTTTGGGCCAAACTCCAAGAACAGAGTAAGTTTTATTGCAAACTTTCCATAATTACACTGAAGCGATTGCCACCACCCCAATCGGCTCATCTGCTTGATATGTGCATTTCTGGTCATCAAGCGCTCAGGTGTACTGACTTAGAAGACATGAAGACGCAGCTATTAAGTAGGATAAATGAAACAACTGACTGAGCAGTTAGCTACTTTGCTTGCAACAAAGAAGAGATTAAGGTGTCTCGCCAGCAAACACTGGGGTTGCCAACAAAGGTACAGTTTCCAAACGGTTTTTTTTCAGTGGAACAGCAAGCGCACAAGAATTGCAAAAGACAAACTCTGGCCAGCTTTAACATAATGCATAATGAAAGCAGGTGATGATATCAAAATCGCCCTCAAGGCGCATACTAAATGCAAGACTGACCTTTGCCTGATTTGCTGATGACAGACGCTCCCAGGACAACCTGCATAATGGAACAGAGTAATCTTATTGTCTTGGTTGATGCCCCATCTGGATACGATGTGACTTCACCGATGAAAGGTAGATATGCACTTTCCTCAGCCGAGCAGATGAGCATCTTTTTGAGCTATCAAAAGACATTGCTGTAGTATGCACTTGCCGCACTCACCATCTTGCTTCTTGACCAATTGTCTGCTCGCCGACCTGTAGCTGCTTTTGATGAGCAGCAATGCAACTATTGAAACCCTATTGCTACAGCCACATAACTTCTTCTGGCAACCATCTACAGAGCGGCGAATGCTACAGAAATCTTGGTGGAATTTGAGTGATGGATTTGCTCAAATGCAAAGCGGAGATGTCTCGGGATCAAACCCACCCGTCTCAAAAGCTGCTAGGCAAGATGATTTGCTCAGATCTTTCAAGCGCTAGGTCATATGTTACGACAAAGCCTTTGTAAGATTCAATCTCATCCCAATTTCCTCTCTTTTTGTCAGGTGCAGCTGCATTCGCTTGAATGAGTGTGTCGCGTTGGACGCCAGCCACAAGCAGACAAGATTGTCTACCTACCTGAGCCTCCTCACTTCCTCTTGCCGTGCACCGTGCACGGTGCAGCAAAACCTGAATCTGCTTCCTTCGCGTCGAACTCTGGTCTGGTCTGGTTGATTGGTCAAGGTTAGTACAGCGTACCGAGTCGGAGGAATGGACCGGGCACCTTGCCTCGTTCGATCCGATGCCGCGTATACGGTACTGCGCAATTACCCTTCCACAGTCCACTGCCGGGGCACTTGTGACTTGACGGTCCCAACAGGTCTTGGAGAGAGGACCGGGGATAAGGACCGGTTTGCCCGGCTCGGTTTGGACCTGGCTTGACCTTGTGTCTAGTCTCTCCCAGGAATTCAGCACAGGTCCGACTGCGGAGTCACAAGCAACTTCACTGACATCAAACATCAAAGCCCAGGCCCAGGGTGCGCTGAGACCAGCTAGCTGTATTTAGGGAACAGGGTGGGCTTTGAAACAGTGGGGCAGCATGATGGCGTCTTCCAGCGCGGTCAAGGTTGGGTACACGCAAGGCTGCTTTCCCCATTGCTCCCTCCCCACTTCTCAGGATGCCTCCCATGCCCCGGCGCTTCTTCCGAGAGGCGCGGCCTGCTCTTTCTTGTCAGGGGCCATGAAAATGAGATGTGGTCGGAGATGCACTCAGCTAGAGCACAGACCGCAGGCTATGGGGCCGAGGGCACAGGGGACAGAAGCAGCGGAGGCGGCTGCTGAGGGCAGGTTTGATGCAAAGGCGTTCAAGAGGGCCCTGAATAAGAACCTGAACTACAACAGGAACGGGTTTGGGTACAAGGAGGAGATGCTGGAGAAGATGTCGCAAGAGTACACAAGTGAGTAGAATTCCTGGACTCTCTTGCACCTTGCACGTCAGAGATCCCTGCAGAGAGCCTTGTAACACAGTCATGCGAGATTTCAACCAATTGCTGGCAACTGGTTTGCGAAAAGGAGGGCAGGGCGGCAACCTCTTTTGCACTGGACTTTTATGTGGAAGCCAAAGTCTTTTGGCAAAAAGAGCCGCCTCCTTGAACTTGTTTCCAAGCCTCCCTAAAAAGCTTTTCTTAGGGTGCCCCTAAATCCCAACCGGCGAATGCGGGACCCGCAGCATTGTGCTGTTTTTTGTTTGTGTACATACAACACTAGGGCACAACTTTCAAAGATGATTGTGGCAGCCACTCATCGATTCCAATGGTGAAACTTGGCCCGATTCTACATGCCGATAGCAGCATTGCGCAGTCATCAATGCCTGGTGTGCCACTTGTCCTGCTCTTGGCAGGATGGCGCACCCTTGCGTCACAACTGCGGTGCCCCCGTTCTCATGCCTCTTGTAAGATAGATAGTAGGTCGCTGTGCGGGCTTCCGCTGCGTCTGGTATTGGGCACCCAAGATTCTGTGCTCATGCACCCTTCTGCATTCATGTTGAACTGCATCCAAGCGGAAGGCTGTCAAGCTGATGTGGGGTGTGAGACTTTGCCCCATGCCATCTCCGTTTCCAACACTCTGCGCCTGCCTCTGCGCTACAGGCGACCTCATTACAAAGCTGAAGGAGAACAACAACGAGTACACAATTGGCGACGTCACCATCAGCCTGGCCAAGTCGTACGGCTTCTGCTGGGGCGTCGAGCGCGCCGTTCAGATGGCATACGAGGCCAGAAAGCACTACCCGGAGCAGAAGATGTGGATCACGAATGAGATCATCCACAACCCCACCGTAAACAACAAGCTCAAGGACATGGACATTCAGTACATCCCAGTTGATAACGAGGTTAAGGACTTCACGGTGGTGGATGATGGGGATGTTGTCATCCTGCCCGCATTTGGCGCCACGGTACAGGAGATGCGGCTCCTGTCAGACAGGGGCGTCAAGATGGTAGACACCACCTGCCCCTGGGTCTCCAAGGTGAGTAGACACTGCGGCCATGTGATGGCTTTGTCAGGATGCTTGGAAAGAACAGAATTTAGCCATTGGATTCTTTCTCGCTAAAGTGGCATTTGGTTGCTCAAGCGCCGGAGGTTGGGAATTGTGAGACTTGGATACCTGTGCGATGGGTGGCTGGAATGGGGGCAAAACAACTTCAATCTAGTTGGCCTCACGGCGGCAGAACTTTGCATGGTATTGTCGGGCACCACTCAAAGCGGCCAGCACAACCCCCGTGCGACGCAGCAAGACACAGTTGGTGTCAGAGGTTTTGGCAGCAACGCACTCTCCAGCTGCAGCGCACATGGTTCGTTCAGTTTTGAGAGTCGGCTGTAAGCATAAAGTTATATTGGTGACATCATTCGTGCTGCTTGCAGGTGTGGAACACGGTGGAGAAGCACCGCGTGAAGACGTACACATCAGTCATCCATGGGAAGTATTCCCACGAGGAAACAGTCGCCACAGCGTCGTTCGCTGGCACATACATCATTGTCAAGAACATGACGGAGGTGAGAATTGAACTGGGACTAAACTAGCTGGATCAGCATGACAGTGCTACTGCATATCGACTGGCAACAATTCTTCCGACTTTTCCAACGTCTTTTGAAGCTCCACTGGAATCTTTCTACAAGGCAGTGAACCTTCTGGAGCTTTTAACAATCACCTTGACCGTCCTAGTCTCTCATCCCAAGAAAATGAATACGTTGCAATTTCTCTCCTGGCTTTATTTGCTTGTCTTCGGAGGACTTTGACCAACTCTCTTCCTGTGCACCTCATCCTGCATGCTGACGAGGTGACATGACCGTGACGCTTGCAGGCTAACTACGTTTGTGACTACATCCTGGGAGGCAAGCTGGACGGGTCTAGTGGCACGCGGGAGGAGTTCCTAGAGGTAACTCGTTCAGCCTTACCTCAGCCATCTGCAAACTAAATTCAAGCGTTCTCTGAAGTCAATCCTTAATGTCAACAATGCGGCCGGACTTAGTGTGCTCATCTGCGCCCACCTGCTTTGCCGGAGGCTAAAAGGGCTTCAATCTAGGCGATTAAACGAAAGAAATTTCAGCTTACGGACGCGTGAAGCTCTCTTCGCTTCCTTGTGTTTGGTTTTCATACACGTTGCTACGTCAAACGCGGTACTAGGTTCGAACATGGGTCCAGCGCTGTCCCAGGACAGTGTTCACTGAGATTCGGGGATATCTGATGCCCCCATATCTTTTCGCCGTGTGCCAGAGCGTTTCTGCGCTGTGCGCGCCTCCCTGTGTTGGGCCACCAGGCCCTTGGCTGAGGTTCGGCCAGCTAGGTTAACATATTGGCAAACTGTGTGGCTGCAGAAGTTCAAGTTTGCCATCTCAAAGGACTTCGATCCCGACACGGACCTGGACCGTCTGGGGATCGCCAACCAGACCACGATGCTCAAGGGCGAGACCGAAGCCATCGGTGAGCAAACGTGCATGCGGGATTTCGGGGATTAAGTCGGACTGCAGTTGGATACTTCTTCGTAATTAGAACGAAAGCACTTGTTGACAGCGAGCATAGGGGCCAATCGCTGAAGCTGCTTCTGAGTCGTTGCCCAAGCCCCTTCTGAAGCAAGACGAAACGTTTGTTCAAAGCGGCTCGGATTTGTCCTCCTTGTCTTATTTCGCAATCAAGTGCAGCAGATAGGAGTCTTTATTGTCCCTTTTCTCGCTCGCAATGGAGCCGATTGTGGCTGTCGCCAGGTGGTGTTTGGATGCTCAGCTTTAGTTTTTGTGCCCAACAAAAAATGATGCGAGAAGGTTTGCGGAGGTCTTTGTCTGCTGTTTCGCCGATGTTCCTGGGACTGAAAGTTAAGGGCACTCTTGAGGCACCTGCAGGAAGGATTCATGTCTGACTGATCCAGTTTGCTTGCGGTGGTGTGCAGGCAAGCTGCTTGAGCGGACCATGATGCAGAAGTTTGGCCCTGCGGAGGTCAACGACCACTTCATGAGCTTCAACACCATCTGCGACGCCACGCAGGTGAGCTCGCTCCCCCATCTAGTTCCTCCTAAGAAAACATATTCTTTTAAGGATTAATGACATTGGTTAGCAGTAAGGAATTCGAAAACAATTCTCAGCAAAAATCAAGGGAGAAGGTTAACGTTAGCATTCTGAGCCCTTGTTCCGAGCTCGACGCTGATTGTGAGAGTGAGGGCATGTTGTTCGGCAGGTCTCGCATCACTTCAGCTTTGCAAGTTCATCGACGCCGTTGGCAAATGGTTGAATCCGTCTGCGTTTCTCTCGATCAGCCATTTCGTACTGATCAGTCCGCACTTGAAGAGAGACAGGGGCACTTCGGAGAAAGACCTGGCCGCGGATCTGCCATCATGTGCTCGTCGAAGTCGGTGTGTATCATTTTGGGATCCTCAAATATGGGGGAGAAAGGGGGAAGAAATGGGAGCAGAACAGCCAACTCTACTCTCATGCTGGCTGCAGGAGCGGCAGAAAGGGTAGGCTTAATGTTGGGGGTAGCGTGGGTACGGGTGCGGAGCGGAGACTTCGGGATGGGTTTTTAGGGCGTCAGTCGGCGCTGATTCTCATCATGGTTCTCTGGTCCTTCCCTGACCTTCAATTTTGTACATTTTCGTTTGCAGGAGCGGCAGGACGCGATGTTCGAGCTGGTGGAGGAGCCGCTGGACATGATGATTGTGGTGGGCGGGTACAACAGCAGCAACACGAGCCACCTGCAGGAGATCGCGGAGCAGCGCAACATCCCCTCCTTCTGGGTTGACTCCGCAGACAGGGTCGGGCCAGGCAACAAGATCGCGCACCGTCTCCTGGTGAAAATCCAACCCCGCGAGTCTTTAACTTGGATTGTGACGAGATGCATTGTTCTGCTGTGCTTTCCCTGGATATCTCGCTTGACGTACATGTGTTTACTTGATTTCTCACTTTTCAGATTCCAGTGAGTTGCCATATTACTGGGTTGATAGGGAGTAAGAAGCACCAGGTCCAGGTTGAGAGGTCGGCGATGGACAATCGGACAACGTCAGCTTTGTATCTCAATAGTCTGCTATTTTTGCGCAAGGGCCTTTCTCCCCTTAGTTGGGAGTAGGCAGACTCCAGTCCTATCTGTAGTCCTGATAGGGCTACGCCTTACCTGTCGGTTCCTTGCGGATCTCGAGACTTGACGCATCTGGCGCCAAATCTTAGAAACTCCTCCCTCGTGCAGTACGGCGAGCTTGTAGAGAAGGACAACTGGCTGCCCGACGGCCCTGTCAAGATTGGCATCACGTCGGGAGCCTCCACGCCGGACAAGGTGAGCTAACATTCATGTTCTTTTTCGATCTGCTCTGGGGTAGTCTCTTCTCACTCCCAGAACGTTCTATCTATCTGTAAAGGTAGACTCCTATTGAAGGCGGCTGCGAAGTGGCATTCCTGATTTTGGAGGGAAAACAGGAGTATGGGCGATTGCGATGGCGAAAATGTGGCTCGATTGACATGTATCCTTTTGCTTGCAGGTGGTGGAGGACGTGTTGAACAAGGTGTTCGCCATCAAGGCGGACATGTACTCCACTGCCGCTGTGGCTTGAACAATTTTGGGTGTTGTTCTCGCTCGAGAGAGCGCTGTGTTTGTTGACCATTTTTTATGCCGGAGCTCAAACGTTCCATTGACGTCTCAGTGGTATCCCTTGAAGGGTTCTCCGTAGAATCAAGCATCATGGAGTCTGCCTACTAAAGGCGCCGTCACTTCCTTGTACGCCGTGTCGGATGCAATTTACAATTACGCGAAATAAGCCGCCCTTTCCCTGCAAATCAAGCTGACATTCAATACTACAAGTCAAGTTCAACCTGAATCCCCGTTTATTTTGTCTGCCAAAGCGTGGCCTGGCAAGTCCTGACCCCTTATGCAACTTTAGCTACTCGATCTTTGTCTCACATGGAGCATGCATGCCATGTGTGCTAAGTACGGTTCTCGAATCTTGGCGTCTGGCACGTCCAACAATTATTTTAATTATAGTACCGCACGCGGCATCATTCATGCAAACATGCGGGGTATGCCTTGATTTGCAGGCACCGGGCGGCCCGCACCATGAGTTGATCTGCAGCTAGATCAATATATATGTCTATAGCCTGTACGTTGCTTGGGCGGTCCCACGTACTGCCATGACGGTGGCTAGCTCGGATGAGTACTATACTAGAAGTGCTATATATACTAGTAGGGCGCTTGGTTTTGTTCAGCGCGTCATGGCTACCTACGCAGAAGCAGTGGCCTCTAAAGAGCCAATGACTCTAGAATCACTGCAGGCAGCCATGACAGAGATGAGGCAGACGCTGGAAACCAAGATATATGACCAAAAGCAAAGAATTGACGCGCAGGCAGAGGAGATTGCGGGACTGAAAAGTGAACTGGCTCAAGCAAGGACTGAAATGTCAAAGCTAGACCGCCAGACTGGCGAGTTTGGAAAGACGGTGGAGAACTTTGGGAAGGTTGTGCAGGAAAAGGTGTTTCCAATTCAGTCAGCTGCACCCCTGCAAAGTGCGGAGGTGGTAGAGGAGGTCAGGAGGACAGTCTCGGCGGTGGTGGAAGAGAGAGTGTGGGAAACTGTTGAGCGCAAGTCACGTGGGTGCACGCTTCGTATCACCGGTCTAGAAGAAAGTCAAGAGGGGCCTCCTGTGCTTGAACAAGTAATCCAGCTCGTGTCTGAGAAGATGAAAATGCCAAATGCCAAGGATCTGATCCAATCGGCTTCCAGAATTGGTAAGCGCAGAGAAGATGGACGGCCTCAGGTGGTCCTGGCGCGCTGCATTTCTGAACAAGCACGGCGGCAGATCCTGATGCGGAAGCCAAATCTTAAGGGGTGCAGGATTGGTGTTGATGAAGACAGAACGCCTGTCCAGCAAGCTCAGCATTACAGCATGGTCAAGCTCATGCGAGAGGCCAGGGCTCAAAAGAAGCATGCACGCATTATGGGGGGCAGGCTCTTTGTCGACGGCGCTGTTGTGAGAGTCGATGACGTGGCACTGAAGCGCGGAGCTGCAAATGGAGCTGCTCCGGTTCCTAACAAAAGCTAGGGGTGCGGGAGCCGTGATGGGGAGGAGGGGAGGAGAGGTACTGGAGCAAAGCAAGGTTTGAGATTTTCCCTTTGGAATTGCCAGGGATGGAGTGAAGAGAAGGCGGATGTCCTTTCGAAAGTAACTTGTGACTTAGAGGTGGAGGTCATTCTCTTGACTGAAACTTGGGCTAGACCAAATGAAGAGCTTGTCGACCTTCCAGGATTTCAATCATTCGAGCAGCCTCGTAGTTTTAAGCATCAAGCCGCCTGGCGGGGCGCGGGAGGGTTGGCAATTTTGGTTTCAGAAGCATTGGCAAGCCTTGGTGTCACTGAATGGAAGGCAGGTCTAGCTGAAAGCCATATGTGGCTGAAGTTTCCTGGTCTTGGGCCAGCGGGCAAGGATCTTTTTCTTTGCCTAGTTTATCTTCCTCCGGGGCAGTCTTCGTGGTACCATCAAGCTGGAACTTCAGTAGAGGAGGCTTTTGACCAGCTTAGGGAAGAAGTAGGAGAAGCTCTGCAAAGTGGAGAAGTGTTGCTCGCAGGAGATTTCAATGCTAGAACGGGGTCTCTTCCTGATTGGTTGGATTCTGGAGACATTCATCTCCTTGCTCAGACGCCAGATGCGGAGTGCCTTAATGAAGTAGAGTGCACAATGCCTAGAACGTCTCAAGATAAAGTGGTCAATGCAACGGGGAGAGTCCTTCTCGAGTTCTGCAGAACAACAGATTGTAGAATCTTGAACGGGAGAGCGAGAGGAGATAGGGAAGGAAGGACCACTTGCTTTCCAGCAAGCGGCGGAAGCAGTCTGGTAGACCTTTTTCTTTGTCCAGCTTCTTTTGTCAAGCATGTAGACATGCTCAGCGTCTTCGAAGAAGTGCCCGAGTCTGATCATCGACTCGTGATGCTGAGCATTCATCTTTGCGAGAAACGCTGGGGGAGTGATCAAGGGACAGGCTATGCTGAAGGGGAGAGGGCGAAGCAAACACTGCCAAGAGTCCGTGAAGGAGGAATCCCTCGTTTCCAGGAGTTGTTGGCATCGTCGGCAAAGCTGCACTCTCTAGCGGAAAGCTCGGCAGCACTGAGTCCTTCGCAAGCAGCTGTAATGCTAGAAGAAGCAATAGAAGCTGCTGCAATATCGGCGTTTCCAACGCCGCAATCTAGAAGAAACTTTGTGAATAGCTGTAGTCCGACCTGGTTTGATGTTGATTGTCGGACGGCCCGTAGAAAGTTCTTAGAGGCTTCGAGAGCAGGCGGTCCTTCGCATCTAAGCAGTCTACTGAAGAAGGAGTATCGAAAGGTTGTGCGAAGGAAGAAACGAGCTTTTAGCAAGTACCGCGTAGCCAAGTTGGAAGATCAAATCCTGAACAGTCCGGGTCGGTTTTGGAAGCAATTCCGAAAGAAAAGGCAAGGACTAGGTCTTGTGCATAAGGAAGGTCTTGTTAAGCATTGTCAAAATCTGTATGAGCAGTCGAAGGTAGAGGAGGTCCCTCTTGCGGGTGCAACGCGTGCATCGGAAAGTGGCGAAGGAGTCAGGCAAACAAGAGAAAGGAGCGAAGTGCTGGAGGCTCCGATCAAAGAGGGCGAAGTCGAAGCAGCTCTGAAGTGCCTCAAGAACGGAAAAAGTGCTGATCTGAAAGGCTTTACGGCTGAACTGCTGAAGGCAGGGCAAAAGCAGCTTGTGGCGGGCCTAACCTCGGTCTTTAACCGGGTTTTCGAAGAAGGCGTGTTTCCGGAGGATTGGAACGAGGGTGTGCTCGTTGCCATTTTCAAGAAAGGATACCCGTCAGATTATGGCAATTACAGGACGGTGACAGTGGGGCCGGTGTTGGGCAAACTGTTTGCAACTGTCATCAATCGAAGGCTGACGGAGTGGGCCGAGAAAGGGTCAATTCGGGCAAAAGGGCAGGCCGGGTTTCGAAAAGGTTTCCGAGCAACAGATCATCTTCTTGCGCTGCGTGTCCTGATCGAAAAATGGGGTCGAGGTAGGGATCGGCACCTCTTTGCTTGCTTTGTCGACTTCAGAAAAGCGTTTGATCTGGTGCCCAGAGATAAGTTGTGGCAACGGCTGAAAGAACTAGGAGTGGGGGTGAAAATGCTGCAGAGCGTGCGGAGCATGTACACCGACGTGCGTTGCCGGGTCAGGGGAGATGGTTGGATCTCAGAAGAGAGCTTCCAAAGCAACTCGGGAGTCAAACAGGGTTGTCCTCTTAGTCCATTGTTGTTCGGGCTGTACACAGACGGTTTGGAGGATTCGATGCGGGGGAGGGGAGATCCAACGCTAATGGGAGTTGGGGTTCCGCTCTTGGCGCCGT